TTTCTATATCAACTTGCATAGCACAGTCAAGGACCGTCGGTGACGAGGTATAAAACGACAATGGATGGGTGTGGGCGGTGTGTTCGGAAGTTAGAAAACGATCTACCAAACCATGGTAGACTACCCACACGTTGTTTGCAAGCCACCTTCAATACTTATTCTACCTTAAGACCCTATAAACTATTGATTGTCAAGAATTAATGCAGTTATAATGAATGACGCTTTTGTACTTGGCTTTTACTTACGATTGGTGATCGGGATGAGGAGTTCTACGCGATTGGAAATTACGTTACGCGATACACGTGCCTATAAAATATTCGGAGCCTAATCATCGTCTAATAATAGTTTGGGGTACTTTAACGAATTTTACTAGCAGCTCCTGAAGTATATTATTTATAACCATGACTTCTTGGATTACAATTTAAACCAAATAAAAACAACGATGCTTGTCATGATCGTTGTTAGAACGTGTTTTTCAAATCTAATAACATGGTCGTAACAGATACATTGCAGCTATTTCGCCTTAATGTTTATCAATCAACAATGTGTTTTTTAGTTTTTAACACGCACCTCTATTGGCAAAACTTCAAATTAAATCACGTCGCAAAGTGAAATGGAAGCGAAGACTTTCACATTATCTCCAAGCTGTTTTACAATATTAATCTGACTATTTCCCGTTTCGCTGCGAGCGAGCCCTTGGCGGCGGCACGCTCTAGTTCCCAAACTGAAATGTTAAAAAGAGCAAGTCTTTTGGAACGGGAACAAACCGGTCAAATGCGAAACAGCTCACGTGGTTCACATTCCTAACCAATGTAATTATTTGGGATACCGGCTGCTGAAAACATTAAGTGTTTCGTTTTACTAGCTGTTGATGTAACTTGGCGTTTGTTATTTGGGTTTTTAGGGTCATCGGTATTATAGAAGATTGGATTGTGTCAGAACCACATTCAATTGCCATTTCCATTTCTAAGTACTTCCAAACAATCGATGTTGGTGAATGGACCGGCTCGCCTCTAGCTAACTATATTGGCATTCTTCATGTCGGCTGTGATTGCTTGCCGATTCGTCGAAAAATCGTTTTTGTTTTCAAGTCACGGGTCCCATTAATGTGCTGGCCACATGGCACATTGCACAATTATCGTGACGAACGCAAGAAAACAGGGCACGTTAAAAGAGAACATTAAGCTATTAACGAAGTAACAGTTAATTGGTGACACACCTACTGAGTCCATGCAAGTCGCTGATACGACGGTTTGTAAGTCTTTTCAAAGGCAAGTTTTTGAAAGAGGAAGCCACGAAATATTTCAATTCCGATATAAAATTGATTGCTACCTGTTATCTCTACTTCCTTTGCGCAACCTGTTGCCATTTACAATGCACGTGTTGATTAGGTGTTTTTAACATGCCGAGTATGGAAAAGCAAGGATGCCTTCAGGCGTTACAATCAAGGGCAAGATACAAATTAGAACACAATATGCGTCACGCTAGATTTTAATTTTTCCCACAGTAATACGTACATAACCAGCGGCTGGGAGATTTACGTCAGAATTATACGGAGAACCGAAAATACAACGTAATACCTAGTGTCACGGCGGTGTGATGTGATTACATTACAAATTATTCAATTCGTTCATTACAACGTCTAGCAAGTTTACACGATAATTTCATGAAGGTCGTTATGCAAACTTGGAATGTTTCGTAGGCACAGCTATGAACTGGCGCCCTTGGCTTAAGATTATGTCATCATAAAATATCTCGTCTCGTCTCCAAAGTCAGGTGTCGCCGATATGGAGATTTGAATTTTATTGCAGTTTGAGTATTGAACACTGGCACGTCACGCGACGTTTTCGGTAGCAACCTAGCTTTTCCATTACAAATTTCTGATTGATCAATGTGCAGTTTAGCACGCAAATTCGTGCACCAGTCTCGATTATTTTTATTTGTTATATATATATTGTAAAATATGTGTAAACGTTCAATCGTTTATTACTTAATCTTTAACTATAAAACTGCAAGTTGCATTATTTTATTTACAGCAAATTGAGAGACTTCCGTATAGCTATCTTGTATGGCAGAACTGATAATTGGTTGCATAATTAATATTGTTGATCTTGCGAATAGAATCAATATCAACACAATAAATTTACATAGTAAATAGAGCACAATAGGTTTGCGAGACTGTCTGTTTGTCCTTCCTCGTGTATGTATATTTTATTAGGAGCAAACGTGATCACAACACAATAATATTCTTATAAGTACTTATTGTTTTATGATAAGATTTCTTCAGGCCTTTCCCAAGTGGGTCGGAGTAGCTTCTGAACTTACTAGTCCTACTGGAGTGAACTAATACAATAAATGGAAGACGTAAAACATTCTTGGTACGACTCGTCATGGTTTTGTGGTCTAACCGGAAGATAAGGCATTGTTTGCTCTACCAAATAGCTCTCGATGACCCATAAAATATTTGCCATAGATAAACAGTCCAAGAAAAAGGGCGTAGAACTTAAGGAACTTCTTACAACTATTTTACGAAACAATCGCACAAATTAAGATAGAAAAATCAAAACATTGTTACAATAATAATCTGATGCACCAATGCCCAAGGTTATCAACAAAGATATGAATGAATTAGGTATGATAAACGGTACATTATCTACAATGCCGGCACGAAAATGTGATAATGTAACGATAAATATTTATATCGATGCGATACCTCTAACAATATTACTTTTGGTCCGACTAAAAACAAAGCAATGTCATATTCACATCATGCATTTTTCTAATATGATTAGCATGATTGATTAATTCGATTTTTGTCCTTAATGAATAAAGGATTATTAAATAATCTATGAATGTTATATACAGAGGCGTATGTCAGTTTAATAATAAATAACATTCTACATAGTATTTGCGTAAAGACAATAGAGATCTTCCATTATTTGTAGAGATTCAACTTCAAGTATGGAAAATTCTTATCCCAGTTATTTTATATCTAATCTCAGATTGTATGCAGTGTAATTCGTAACAGTGTTTCTCATAATGATTTGGATGAATTATTGTACCAAATTGAATGATTAGTTAAAACCAATCGATTAAAAAACTTAGAACGAAATTAGTAGAAATGAAATGTTGAAGTTTTATAATTCGAAAAATGGTAAAAAGTAGGTCGGGCAACTGGTTTTATGATTATTATCTGAACGATTGTCGTTAGCGTACAAAACCACGGCCGTTTTTTTGCAAAAAAAACTTTCACTCAGTTGTGATAAAGTTTACATTGTTTAATATCTACCCCAAAAGCTTTACAAACAATTCGTATTTAACGTATTAGTGTTTGTAGATTAATTAATTAAAATATCACACTTTTTAACCCGAGAAGTAGAAGATAAATGTCAAGTCAAGACAAACATTGGTCTCCAATCGTGATAAATTTATATGGGTAAATTTAAAAGCAATTATCACCCAAAATTCTAAGAAATAAACCCACAAATATCCAACTTCCAAATTCGGATAATAGCTAAGTATATAATATTGTCTAGAAAATAGCATTTGGCTCAAAATTACAACACAATAAGGCAAAATTTATATGTGGCAATTTTAATCACTCTTCCTGTTTATGTGATAACTCTATTTAAATATTGGAACAATTTGTTAATGTTTGAGCTATGTTATTTATGACTGTGGCTTACTATGAGAAAACTCCGTTCTAAAAAAAGTCCCATTTCGTGCAGGTAACTTTTGTACTATTCTGATTTTTATAATAGAAGATACATTTACATATTTTGCCACATTATGAATGTAATGTAATTGACCATAAAAACATCAATATTCTAACATTTCTACCCAAGCATTTCCTATAATGAATAAACAATGCTTATTAGATTCATTTCATAACATGTAATGATAATTTAATTATTATTCTCATGGAAATCTTGTAAGAAAATATTTAAAAGAAACTTAGAACCAAACAAAAAAAGAAAAATTGCTTATTTTTTCCATTATCAAAACATTTTGTATAGAAAAAAAACTACATAAAATTGCTGTCTATAATTGGAGATATAAAAAGTGTAGAAGCATTTGAGCTTGGAATTTAATCACATAATTGCTGCATTGTCTATGTTTTAACTACTTAGATGAGTCATAGACAATGTACTTCAGTATGATACTTCTTTTTATATATTATTATGATTATGATTATGAAGCTTCAGTATTATTAAGCAAACTACATGAAAACAATTTACAGTTTAGTTAAAATGCGAAATGCTCCTGGTACTCCCAGATAAATCCTATTTGTTCCTTTTTTCAATATTAAGTATTATGCACAACAACATTGTTTGCGGTACAAGTGTTACTTTGCTAATAATTATGCTTCTTTAAATAGGTGTCATGAAAAATGGTTTATGACATCTATTTTATTGTAAAAAAAAAACAACTACAAGTAGGACAGGAAACTTTATCAAAGAATAATTTAGGATACTAATTACTGAGATGACTGAGCTCTCATTAACCTATTCCACTTAGAAGTAATACTTTCTGAGAAAAAAGTTAACATACATATTTAACATATGAATTACTTAAAGCAACATTTACATTAATTCAGATAAAGTTGTTGAACTAATGTAATTAGGATAACATTTCAGACAAAAAATTATGTGAACACAAAAAATGATATAATTATGTTTAGATAAGTTCTTTTGATGATAAATTTCATAACATGTCATGATTATACTCAACCCACGCCATTTAGATAACAGAACAAGTGCCATTTTAAAGAATAATTAGCTTATTGTTGTGATGATAACACAAGAAATTGTAATAATTATAAATACATTTGGCACACAGGACCCAATGAATTGATTAACTTCACAAGCAAATTAAAACTTGTTCTTGGCAAGCTTTAACACTAAGGTCATGACCAATACAGAATTCATAACTTGATTGGTATTAAAACAATATGCAAAAAATAAACAATAGTAAATCTTAAACAAAACATAGCTACATACCTTGAATGAGCTGTGAACTAATGTCTCGTCGAGATCAATGACCATACACTTTTTATGCATGTCCTGGTGTTTCACTGGGGGTAATAGCGGTCGCGGGGCAGTGTGGTCCATGACCAGCAGCCCCCGCTCCTGCGGGAGCGGCGAAGCCCGGCCATCGATGCTGTTCGCGCCATTACTGCCGGGCGGACCCTTGCCTCGCCCGCCACGCCAGCAGCACAGCAGAGACCGCAGGAATCCGCCGCCACCGCTCGACTTCTTACTACCCAATGGTGCTGACCCCGACACCGGTGTAACATCCCCTTCATTATGTTGGCCGCCAGGGGATGACCCTAAAACAACCATTACACATCAGATCACTCCAACACAGTAAACTCACACACGGAAGCCTCAAAGAATATCACCAGTGGAACCGTAAGGAAAGAGAAGTGTTCAAGGTTGCTGTAAATGTTATCGCGTCCACACGATCCAATTGTTTACCTCACAGCACACGCACGCGAAACGGAACCAAAGAATCACAAAACGTTCACTAATCCACTGATCCAACATCGATCACGATCAGCAAATATTTACGAGTCGTGAGGAGGTAACACTATACGCTCTAATTTGATGCTAGTAGGTAACAGGTGTAATTCGGTTGGGATTTACCTCTGTCGGATCCATAATTGTTTAATTGCTCGTCATCCCGTGACACCTGAGTTATAATGGACGATGCGTCCATTTAAACATTTGTTTTTAGCCCTAAGACAAACGGCAACAGAGTTTTTGTATAATTTTAACACCATAAAACTATTTTTTATCTCCCTTCTATCTTACAAAATGGCAGGCTCTTAGCAAATACCAACTTTGAATGTAGCCAACACATAAAAATTGTACAATCGTACAACTCTGTCTGCCATACGCAGGTAGTTCAAGAAAGAAAGAAATAACAATACTTCACATTTCAAATTTCGTAAAGTTGCTACTTCTGTCAACCAACAGCCAAAAATAGTTTAGCAGTCGTTCGAAACCCAAATAAAATTATTTATTTCTTACATCACAATAAAATTTAAATTATTTTGTGTATGTGAGAAAGGCTATAAAATTATTATCACAAATCATAAACAAAATAACATCGAATGAGAAACATCAAAATAACTTTATTTAAGTCATCGTATCTTTAAACATTTCCGAACGCTATAGTGCAGATAAAGAATCATTTTGGATTATTCTGTCATATTTGTAGTCGTTCAAAAAATGTATTACATTTTATAATCCATTTGTTTGCTATCAATTTAAAATATGCATTGATAATTAAATCATAAGAAGAAAGAAGAAGAAATTTTTACTAAAAAAAGGCAAACTCAATTTTTATTACAGTCTGTCTTAAAATATTCACTAACCGCTATTGTAATGTCATTCCCCCTATATTTTATTCAAAGATCTTACAATCTTGTTTAAATCTTTGAATTTTTTTTTGTGAGGGGAAAATCATCCAATGACTTTTCCCGCCCAGGGCCGGGCAGGAGGGAGTGTCAGACTCTTACTGACTAAAAACCCCCCTGTTCCTTCTCCTGCTCTGTGCCGAAATCGCGGTGCCTCATTGCGCTTACCCCGCAACCCCGGCAGCCCTTTAGGGCTTGATTATATTGTAGTTTTTTTGTTCTTAGAATAATTTATTATTTGATGTTGTAATTCTGAAAAAAATAAATATTACAAAAGCAGACGTTTGTTTAATTCATAAGAGCGATGAAGACTTTGCTTTCGTTTCTTTTATGGTTTTTTAAAACCCTTGGAAGATCTAAGCAACAGGCTACTATCCACATGAAAATTCAGCACTAGCAACACTGAACTTTCTCTTTTGAAAGATGCTCTGTGCAAAGACCTTATACTCTAAACTAGACTGTGCACTAAGGCGCAAAAACCGAGCCGGTGCGAGACAGCTCCCGATGGTAGTGTGTCCCTTTCTAATGTAGTGACCATGACCAAACAGAATACGGGACAAATTGCTTGTAAAAACAATTATTTAAGTATCATGATATATTGATACTACCAAACTAGCGTAACTTCACCGACCTAATTTTTTGTAAGAAAAAACCAACAATCCAAAACGTGTGTATATTTTTACTCGACTTCCAAAAAGGAGGATGGTTCTCAATTCGACCATATATATATATATGCTTTTTTATGTTTGTTCGCCGATATCTCCGTTATTAATGAACCGATTTTGATAATTCTTTTTTTGTTGGCAAGGAGATAGTTTTAGAATGGTCCCATGATAAGGAAATCAGGATCTGATGATGGAAGACCAGAGAAATTGAGAACTTTCAAAAATTGAAGGTACGAGTGGTGCTTTTGCATGTGGTTTTAGTAGGCTTTTGACAACGCTACAACTTGCCGATGTTCGAACTCGACCTGATGATGGAGCCGGAAGACAATCGAGGGATCTCCTTGACTATTTGGAGTAGTTGCTTTGTGTTTGGGCTTGAATGATTCGTATTGATGAGCACTTTTCACCAAGATTGGTCGTGAATGTCATTAAGGGTCTGATAATGAGAATGAAAGACAACTCAGGGAACTCCAGAACGGTTTTCAGTAACTACCTCCTGTTTGGACTTAATTCATTTATATTGATGAGAACTTTGCACCTATATGGATTGTGTATAATGAAGGTCTGCAGTATACCTGATGATGGAAGTCATTGACATTTGAGGGAATTCCTCAACGATTTACAGCATTCAAAGCTGACTAACTCAGGACTATTATTACCGTGATTTTCGGTCTCAAATAGCCGTCGTCTTCTCTTTCGAGAAGCATGCTAGCTTTTTCTGCCTATCACTTAAAATGGTAAAATAAAATATTTTTTAACAAAAAAACCGACTTCCAAAATAGCTAAACTAAAAAGCAAAAAATAAATTTTGGAAGTCGGTTTTTTTTTGTTAAAAATTACTTTTTTAAATCTACAGAACCTGTAAGTAAAGTAAGTAAGTATTTATATAGTAATCTGTACACGTGGGTAAGGGTTGAAAGTACTTTTTTCTACTTTTAAAAGTGATATATTCCCAACATCATATTAATATTACCTACAGGAAAATGATGATTTCGGCGAGGGAATACACCGTGAGGTTGGCTGAATGTTTAACCATTATCCGAAAAATTTGTCTGATTCCCCTTGGTGAAAGCTTAGCATATGTAACCGGGATAACATTTGCGAAGATGATGAGGAGGATTATTATTAAATGAGTGTTAGGGCAAATGAATGTGATGCAGTATTGTGGAATGAAAAAGACTGTTTTCTTTTAATATTGATTTATTTTTATACATTGCTAAACAATACAGTTTTACGCATTTTTTGTCATAATGTAGCCCTATTTCCTACATGCTTGAGGCTTATAGTCTTCCCGTAGCTTTTATGTCTTAAATTTAAGTTTTTTTTTTATCAATACATTAAATCAGTTCCAATTCATGGGATTCGTCAGATGCTGGATGGGCAGGCAAAAGGTGCTTAATTTTAGGGGTGAATTGATGTACTATCATATTAAGCATTTATTTATATTCAAGCTCTGTAAATCAGGAGAGATTACCAAAAAAAGTTTTTCTATATACTTTACTACATTGAACACATGTTGAAGCCTCAGATTAATATAATTACAATTTTGTTTTCTGACAAGCTTGGTAAGCATTATTCTTTACATTACTTTATCTAATTCTATAAAACATTCAAAAATTCTATTATATAAGTAATTGTCAACAGTGCGAATATTTAAAGTAAATGTTTATTAAGTTTTTATTATAAGAAATAATGTATTTTAGGCTATATTTTTTACTTTCTAAAAAACGGGGAAGGTGTAGTGTGTGAGATCTCTCCCCATAAGTAGTGTAAGTTATTAGGTATATACACTTAATTAAAGACGATCGTCCAGCTTACACGTCTCGTATTTGCTTCTACATTGCACCACATTTTAATGTAACACTTACTGGACACTTATAACCTATTTACACCTGTTTACTTATAATATCATTGGTATTAACAAGTTCCTTAAAATAATAAAATAAAAAATGAAAAGGACACAAAGGACAAAAACAGTTAGTCGTATCTTCTGCCTATCTACTGCGATATAGTAAGAAAACCTTTGATCGAGAAAATTCATTGTTACCCTAACCCGAAATCAGCAAACCGCCATCTTGCATTAATTGTTACCAAACACAAACATTCAAGTACTACTGTTTACTCTGTATTAATGATTTTTCGTATAATACCGCAAATTGACTATTAATTTTAAGGACTATAAAGACATTTATATACGTTTTGTAGTTTATGAATTGTTTGTTTTGTTAAAACATAAAACATAATTATATTTAATTTTCTACCATTTCTACCAACCCCTAAGGTTAGTTGAGCTGGCAAGATGTGAGACAAGGACACACTACCGTGAGGAGCCCTCTCACCTGGACCGGTTTTAGTTTGTTAACGCTTTTAAGAAAATAGCTACCCTATACATAACGGGATAAAGCACATTTTAGCTAAACAAAAAAATTTGGTGCACAGTCTAGTTTTAAGTACAAGGTCTTTGGCTCTGTGTTCTGTGTAGGGATTTTCCGATACCACCTAAGTATCGATACTTACTCATTTCGATAATACTCAAATCTTTTTTCGATACTATACAAATAAGTACTCCTCAAGTATCGATACTTACTGATATCGATACTTTTTGGAACTTTTATTTTATTATTTTGAGGGTGCTATCAATGAACGTTGAAGGATAATAATTTAAAGAAAATTGAGACGAAAAAAACGATTTATTTATTATAAATGTTTATTAGGCTTATTATAATTTAAACAAAAAACTCTTCAGCATTAAGATTGCCCAAAAACAGTAACTGTTCAAGGTATTTAGAAGACAATCTGTTTCTTGTTTGTGTCATTGTTGCACCGGCTTTGGAAAAAAGGCACTCGCTAGGAACTGATGTTGCAACAACAATTAAATATTGCTGTGCATACTTGTACAGACAAGGAAACACCAACTTCATGTCATCCCATTCTGCAAATGGGTTGCTTTTAAGAGAAACTACTGGATTTGATAAATAAAGAGAAACTTCATCTCCCTGATGAGATTTTTTTTTCTTCTTGTGCCCATGTGCTAACTCTTTATGATGTTTCCAAAAATCGTATTCAGGTGGTGCAGTAGATGAGACATCATCTTCTGACTCACTTGGGCTACTTAGTTGTCCGACAACCATGGTTCTAAGTTTTTGAATAGCTCTTCCGCATGCAGAGGGGTCTTGGAAATGCAGATTTTTAAACCTTGGGTCTAGAATTGTTGCAATGGCTGCATGATCGTTTAATTCAATCATCCCATACCTCCTTTTCAGCTCTCTCAATAAAACATCCTTACATTCTTTAACGATAGCGGAGTTTGGAGTGATACTATTCAGTTCTGTAGTTAAGCAATTAAGCATTGGTATAATTTTGGAGATTGTTACATACTTTTGGCCCGATGATTCTCTTGTTACATATTCAAAAGGCTTTAATACAGTTGTAAGCTCATTCAAGGTTTCCATTTCCACTGCACTTGGCAAATTTGGAGCCACTACACTCTCAATTACAATTTCTGATATTACTATTCTTAACTTTAGAAATCGCTCTAACATAAAAAAAGTTGAGTTCCACCTAGTTCTTACATCTGCAATAAGTTTTAAAACTGATCCTGCCGAAACATTATTACGCATTTGGATTTTTCGTAGCTTATCCGACTGCACAACACTATTTTTTATCCAATTAACAATTTCTCGTACTTTTATAACAGCTGATTTAACACTGGGCAACTTTAGTGCCTCTTCAACTACAAGGTTAATAGTATGGGCAAAACACGGTAAATGTTTTTTTTCGCCTAAAGACATTCGTATGGCAGCCAACATTGAACTGGCATTATCTGATACAGCAGCACGAATTTTGGTAAGTGGAATATTCCATTTTTTCAAAATATCCAGCAGGTTTTCCGATATGTATTCAGCTGTATGTCGCTCTCTTAATGCACGAGTTGCAAGATAATACATACACATTTGACCATTTTCTACAAAATGTATGGTGACGCCCATGAATCCTACTTCATTCATTGTCTCTGTCCATATGTCCAGCGTTAAACAGAAATTGTCTATCTTGGATAATTTGGACTTACAAATAGTTATACAAGCTTCGTACTTTTCGGTAGTCATTTTCTTTAAATACTTTGCGCCAGGAACTTTAAAAGTAGGCTCCAGTTCTTTTACAAGTCGTAAAAAGCCTTCACCTTCAACTATATTAAATGGACGCATATCTTGACAGATAAAAAATATCAATGCTTGAACAATTCTGTTATACTTCGTACCACCAGCTAAAAATAAAACTCAATTTTAATACATGTAATATTAAATTAAATATTTATATATTTTTCTTTAACACTAATTCTATATGTATTAATATTATTTTGCTAATATTTAATTAAATATCTATTTATTTACCTTTATTAGATGAAATTCGTTCAAACGCATTCTTTATTGAATTGCTCAGACATAGCTCCCTTGCAGTCTCCGAGTCCATACTTGTTAATGTGGTTACACTAGAGCAATCATCACGATCTTCTGAAATTTTCGATGTTGATGCTTGGGGTTGATCATCTTCCATTAAATGCCTTGAGTTGGCCAACACTATTGTATTTTTTGAACTGAAACATAATAACAAAAATTAACACTTGATAGATCGATAATCTTCAAAGTATCGATAATACCAACTCCAACACTACCGCCATTTAACAACACTATTACACTAACAAAAACAAACACATAACCTTAAATTGTTTAAATCGTATTTATACAAAGGAAATATCTCATCACCGGTCATCAATTATTATTCATATATTATTAATATATAGACAAGACAATCACAGTACCACTGCTGCAAAACTATTTTTTATACAAATAAAATAGGTAGGAGTAGGTAGGATTTTTTATTTAACATCTTAGGAAAGCAATCGCAAAAAAAAAGAAAAGTTTAGAATCCTACCTTTCGTTGGACTTATTATTTTCTTTTTTCTGTAATTTGCCTTTGTCCACAGAAATTCCATGAGTTTTAGAATGCTTGAATAAATTCGACGTATTCCCACAATACTTCACAGACTTAAAACACTGTTTACATTTTGCAATTGTTTCGTTTGTTTTGGTAAAATGTGTCCATATTATAGATTTTGGTGGTGCCATGATAACATTGGAATAAACCGATGAATTTGATGATTACAATTAATAAAATTACTTGTAAACAATCACTTAACACTTTCACAATGGCGGAATGGCGAGATGATTTGCGAGCGGGTGCGGGTGTTTTCTTCTCTCGCTTTCGGCTCGGGCGGGCTCGGCTGAAGTCGGACGAATTCGGCTAGCCCAGCGCGAGACAACGCGTCACTCACGCCGCCACGCGACGAATACCGGTAACTCGGTAACCTGATTAGCTGACTGTTTTTGCCTCGTTTTTGCTCTCTTAGTTCTGTATGATGCGTTCTCGGTTTTTTTTATTGTATTCGGTTGTTTTGCTGATTCGATTCGATACCAAGTATTTTTGTTTCGATACCGATTATGTATCGCAAAATTGATTCGATACAATAAATACTTGGTATCGAATCAAAAGTATCGAGTACCTACTAGTATTTATTAGTATCGGAATATCCCTAGTTCTGTGTCGACTTGTCAAAAACAGATTTGTTTAGTTTTTTCATGAATAAATCTTTAACGTCGGACGAAATCGTGTATTTTAACTAATGTGCGGCGAATTCTGATTGTGTGCGTAGTTTTAGTGTAGCAAATTGACGCCAACACCTGGTCATAATGGCGCAAAGGGATCCAGGACCCATACCGAATAGGTGGTTGAGATGTCCACGAAAAGCAACGGGACTGATTGCTGACAAGTTTATGGCTTTCAAAACGCCTTTGGGGTCCCAGTTCAATGATAAAGTACCTGAAGAAAACCGTTTTACTCCATCCATGTTATTTATGTACATGAAAAGTATGAAAGTAAGTCATATTTCACACCTGACCATTGGTAAAACATTCTACGCTTTGTGAATTTAAATTGAATATATTTTTTATTTATAACCGTGATTCATTATATTCCATAAATTTTAGATGCTCGTGTATAATTTTGTGCAGATAATAAAGTGATTATCCTATGAATACTTGCAAACATTACAGCTATTGTTAATGCCAATATGTGAATCTATTTTTAGAGAAAACGTGACAATGTGGTGTTAAATGTTTCATATCTTTAACAATATTTATCACATTAAATAATAATGAGGCCTAAGTAGTTTGTGGCCATGTAAATTAAAGGAGGATTTATTTTCAGATAAAGTTAGGTCTATGGATAGACCTGACTAACACCAGTCGGTTTTACGACAAGAAAGAGGTAGAGGAGACTGGTTGTAAGTATGTTAAGATGCAGTGCAGAGGACATGGTGAAACACCATCTCCAGATCAGACTAGGTAAAGATAAATCAATTAAACACTTTTGTCTTAATGTACCTGTCTGTGAGTAAAAATATGTTTTCCTAAGTTTTTTCCAACCAAAGAATATACAGATTTTTTTAACTTAAAATCTATAAATAGTCTGTTAGTCTATTTATTAGTCAATCAGTGAAGGTTAGGTCCTATTTCCAAAGTGTAGATGCAAAGGGAGCAGTACAAGAATTTCCGTTTAATTTCAACATTGCATGTACAACTTGGACAGAGTGTTGAGCCACAACATTGTATTTAACATCAATACACAGCTATGCAATAAGTTAATCTTACCAGTACATTATTTAACATGCATTATTGTACACATAATTATGTGAGAACAATGCAGAGAACAAGTTCTTAAAAAATAAAGAAATTGATTTGGGCGTTCCCAGCAAGAGATTTAAAAATACATACAATGTAAACATAGACATAAAAAATACCACTAGGGTTAAGGAGATTCCTTAGAGAGCTATATTACTAGAGCTACTACTTTTATTAATATAAGAAAGGAAAGGTATTTGTGCACAAGATTCAGGTCAGGTTCAGGGCAAAGCATTCTATAGAGTACAACATACACATAACATTTGTTTTATCTAGACTTCCTAGTCAAAGTTTTATGTTTTAATTCATAGTAATAAGATGTAATATAATATAGAATTAGAAAAACAAATTAACTTACCATAATTTACATGGTTGAGGCGATGAGCCTGTTGACAAAATATATTAATATTATGTGTAATTCTACAGAAAATACATTAATATTATGTCATACATGGTGTGCTGCGTAATCAGTATGCTAATATGAAACCCTGATGTTTGATACAAGTTAATTTTGATTTCTCATTTCTTTGCAAATGATATATATTGTTACTTATGTAAGAAACTGAAGCAAAATCTAACCTTTTAATTATTTTCAGGGAATTCATTCAATTAGTTAGCAGATTTGTGAGTCAGAAGCCGTTGGAGTTGATTGGGGTACATTGTACTCATGGCTTCAATAGGACTGGGTTCTTACTGGTGTCCTACATGGTGGAACATCTTGACTGCAGTGTACAGGCTGCTATCAACGAATTTGCAAGGATGAGGTACTTAGTATGACGATTATAAGTTTTTAAAATTGATATCTTTGAAGTTGGTTTTTATGGGATAAGTCAGCAAATGAGCAAATGCCAAATCACCCGATAAACCAGTCAACATCACTCTTGGCCACCTAAAACACCTAAAGGGACAAAAGCGTCTTGCCTGTTTGTTGTACCTAGCTAACTAAAATATTATGAAGCAACATCAAGAAGCCATCCTTTAGCAGTTTCTATCTAAAATTCTATCCAAATTATCATAAACGGCATTACTTTTGTAGATAAACATTGTACAGAAACTAATGAGTATAATTTTCAGACCACCAGGCATATACAAACAAGACTATTTGCAAGAGTTGTTTCGTCGTTACGATGAAGTGGAATTGACTCCTCCTGCTCCAATGTTGCCTGACTGGTGTCATGGTAAGTACATATTATTAATACATCATCACAAAGCCTTCCCCTTGGACAAAACATTTGGCAACCCGCCCCTTTTACTCATTGTACTTCCGCAACTCTGACGCCAGTCCGTATAATACTGTTACGCGGAATCAGCATAAAGATATACGTGATGTTATGTATAGTTTTATTTTCTGACATGTAAATTTAAATAACAGAAGATCTTAATATTTGTTTAGTAAGATAGACAGATCTACATTTCATTATTTTTATAGTTATAATATTGTTAATATTCGAACTATGAACCTAAACAAATCTCAGGTGAAATTAATACTAATATTTGTAGTGTGTTTTTTAGTTAGATAGGTCGGAAAGCGAGTTGGTAAATTACGTGATAGTAAGCAATTGGCACCTATGGCCTGCTGCAACACCAAAAGAGTTCCATCCAAAGATTATGTTTTACGTTTATGTCGTGTAGAGATACAGAATATTGTAACAAAAAGCAACAGACTTACTGTTATCGAAATCATTTGGAATAAATTATTTCAGCGACATTACAAGCACAAGTTTGTATGAAACTTTGATTTTGATTTAAGATATTTCTTTTCAGAGGAAGAAGAAGAGGTTGACGATGATGTCCCAAGTCACTCACAGAATTCATCATCATCAACGTAAGTACCACTCGTTTTCGACATTAACATATCAAAGATAATTACATATTGTCAACATTAGTCATTATACTGTTTATTTTCCGTTGATCCACTTGAAAATAGATAAGAATTGCGTCTTTGTTTAAACTTCATAATTATTGTATTAAAACTATTTTTCTTAGAAGTCTTTTCTGTTCATGAATAAATTCATCAAACGATTAAGCATAGAATTAAACGATTATAACATACTAAGATAATGCAGGTGTAACCTTTTTTGTGGAAAGGGCAATGTTAACTTAAGCTGCTTTTGTTAATTGCCATTAGAACTTTAAACATATTAATAGACTTTGATATAAGTACAGGGTTCTTAAACCTATAAAATTTAATTGTTACTTAATTCTCAAATGTAGAAAAAGTTTTCTTTTAGAAAAAGAGGTTTATTGTATGGTTAGATGGTAAAAAAGCAGACGGCTTACTTGGTGGCTCTGAGCACTTTAGCAACAGATGATCCTTCCTGTTACTGTCAATTAACCAGTACATTAATTTTCAGCCCACGCAAACATAAAGGCAAGGGTAGAAAGGAAACCACACACAAGAAGGCCTCATTTATGCCAGGAGTCCGAGGAGTGGAACCATTTGACTCTCAACCGAGGCTCGGTGAGGTTCAGAGGAAAGCTCAGCGGTTCTGTGAATGGGATACCACAGGGTTTCCCGGTTCACAGCCTGTGTCAATGGACACTGCTAACTTGAGGAAGCTGCATGAAAAGCCCTATAGGGTATCATGGAAGGCTGATGGAGTCAGGTATGTATCACCTACTGATGATTTTCAGTCTCTTACTTAATTTGACCTGATTTTACTTGAAGCCAAGACGTCTTTTCGTACATTATACATTCACTTTTTACTAATGTCGATACTGAACTAGCTTGGCAGCTTGGCCTAAAATCAAGGTAGGCAAGGCGGATCACTGAGGCTTCATCAATTTGATTTCCAAAAAAATTAAGTCTTGCCATTCGCGTTCCTCTGTATAGGGAGGTTGAAAATCACTATTGTTAAAGCATTTCGGGACTGTGGGAAAAATGCCGCACCACCCACGCTTAGTTATATACGCTTTTGAATATCAAAAAGCTTCAGTCAAGATCAGGACAGATATTTTTGTTTGGCTCTTAAAATTGTGTAATTTTCTTTGTAGGTGCTATACGGAACTAGTACAGCGAAAGGATAGTTCAGGGTACGACTGACTTATTAAACTTTTTTGTTTTAGATACATGATGTTGATTGACGGTGAAGGAGAAGTGTACATGTTGGACCGAGACAACTGTGTTTTCAAAGTCCATGGGCTGCAGTTCCTATACAGAAAAGATTTGAGAAGGCACTTGAGGAATACCCTACTTGATGGGGTAAGTAAACTTTTTTTAATGGTTGCTCTAACTCAGACTGTCTTTGTCTGTTGATGACTTGGTTGTGTGCAGTGTAGAAGAAATAGATATTATGATGGTTTGAAAAGGTTTCAGATAAAAACTTATATAGAACTAATATTCATTTGACTGCACGGTTGTTGCGGTGGCTGGGCAACTGGCTGCCGTGCAACATGTGGCGGGTTCGATTCCCGTACAGAACAACTCTGTGTGTTCCACAAATTGTTGTTGCAGATCCAGGCGTCATAAGTATGTGAAATTGTATGTTTGTAACCGCACCCACGACACAGAAGACAATCTTAATGTGGGGCAGCGTTTTTTTTTAATTATTGTATTGTAATACCAACAATAAATGCACTTATATTAGGTCATTAAACATTTTGTCACAATCAAGAGATCTAAATCGCCAGTGGCGCCACCTGACTAATGATCACCGCTTTTATAATTTTTAGGAAATGGTTATCGACAAAGTGGACAATAAGGATATACCTCGGTACTTGTGTTACGATATTATCAGCTTCGAAGGCGTCGACACCGGAAAAATGGAATTCTACCCGACTAGACTGAATTACATCGAAAATGAAATTGTTTATCCTAGGTAATGAGCCTGTTATTTGTTTAAAAATGGCTATTGATTTTTTTTTATTTTATTATCCAGTACTTATTTGGGATGATCCATAAAAATATTTTTAATGACTAGATTAATTTAAAACACAATACTCAGCGACGAATTTAATTTCTTTTCTTGAGAGGTTAAATACTTTCGACTATAATATGTTGCTTTAAAATACCGTGTGACGTCACGATTTAGTACATGTACATCCGGAACAATGACGTACCGACCCTTTTATCTAAGAATCTTAAAAGTACAACAAAATATTCACGTTTAAAATTTCTTCATATTTATCTGCAAACTAAATAGATTTTTTTGTTTAGTTGCCATGCGCAAGCGCATTCCATAATGCTTACGATGCCAAGTCGTTGTTATTGTTGATAGATATTGTTGTTCATGAAGTATATACAGAAATACAAACTATTCGGCATTACCTAATTAAATGATAAACTTTTATTAAACTCCAGTAATTATGTTTCAGGAGCCAAGCAATCAAGGAAGGTATAATAAAAAAGGAAAGGGAGCCCTTCAGTGTTCGCTTGAAGCAATTCTGGGAGTTAACAATGACGCGACAGCTTCTTGGGGAGAAATTCGCTAAGTCACTGTCTCATGAGCCCGACGGACTTATTTTCCAGCCTTCTAAGGAGGTTCGTACTTATTTTTTTTTTAATGTGATAGGTCAGCAGCTAACGAGCTGACGGATTACCTGATGGTAAGCATTAAGTGCCGCCCATAGAAACCCGCAACAACAGACGAGATACGAGTGCATTGCGACCTTTTGGGGATTGGGGAGGGGTAGGGGTAACCTCACTCACACGGCGAAACACAACGCTGTGGTTGTTTAACGCTGTTTTTCTGTGAGGCCGTGCTATTGCTTTATTCGTACCGAAGCATGGTTCTCCCACACTTAATACTAGTAAAATACGTGTGATTGTCTGCTCTGCCTCGACCAACGCGAGATATGGTATACCACGGCCTCATAGAAAACCGGATTGAACAACATTGGCCTTAGAGTGGCTCTCCTAAAATATTAGCTGACCATAAACCATTCCGATACCAAATTACCTTCCATTATAACGTCGATTTTTAAAAGTTACTATTTTTTGTTTGCGAATCTCAATTTTGATTTCCCATAAGTGAATATGGTTATTTTAAGAAATGCATAAAGGATCTAACTTATTTATTTTATCTACTATTCCAGAGGTACATACCTGGTCCATGCGAAGATGTACTGAAATGGAAGCCGAGTAACATGAACAGTGTAGATTTTAGACTGAAAATTGTCACAGAAACTGGCCAGGGGTGAGTTTTTAAATTTTTCAATATAATACCTTATAACAGTAAAGTAACCCTTCCTTCTTTTATAATAAAGGCGCCATTTGTTTCTCTGTAAAAATAAAAAAGTCACAGCATACTTATTGCTACTACTATTTAAATCTGTACTCATATTATAAAGCTGAAGAGTTTGTTTGTTTGTTTAATGTTTAAACGCGCTAGTCTCCGGAACTACTGGTCCGAATTGAACAATTCTTTTTGTGTTTGTTAGTCCATTTATCGAGGAAGGCTGTAAGCTATAAAACCTCAACATCTGTAGGAGTTCAGCAGCGGGTGAAACCGCGTGAGAGTAGCTAGTTGTAATAAATGTGTTTAAACACAATTTTCTCTTATAACTACCCGATTTTATAAGCCAAATCTTTCTGTTACAGCCTCCTACCAACAAAGATTGGTTACCTATACGTAGGTAAAATGGACCAGCCCTTCGCCTCAATGAAAGTAACAAAGGACATAAAACATTTGGACAACAAAATCATTGAATGCACCTTCGAGCAGGGACGGTGGGTCTTCATGAGGGAACGGACGGATAAATCTTACCCAAATAGCTACAATACGGCCACCTGTAAGTTATATTAGTTTATATGCAAGTAATGTACACTCTATTCAGCAATAATGAGTTAGGCTTCTAAACAAACCTACCTATACAAATCTATGAATCTACATCACAAATCAATACAAGTCATTTAACAGAATTACGAATTAATTTTGTGTTGTATTATAACTCAAAAACAACTGCTGTTGTACATACAATTTTATTCGTTTTAAACAGTTATTTATTATATTAGCTTTATCTCTCCTTTACAGATCTTGCCCTATCTCAGTCATATTTTACAAAACTTTTTTTTATATTTTCAGCTGTATGTGAGAGTATAAAAGACCCAGTAACCAAGGAGATCCTACTTGAATACATAGACAATCATAGGTTCCACGACGACTCGGATATGATGCCCCCTCCGAAGCGCATGCGTCGATAGCGTTCTCTAGATCACTACAAATAATATAGATGGCGCGATTGTCAATATTATTTCTTTTGTTTTTTTATGTAATATGACTGAAAAGTTGAAGAGAGCTATGTTAGATTTGATCGAATAAAACTTATTAAGATAATTTGATTTTATATGTTATTTTGAGAAAAGTTACTAATTGGGGAGTTTCCTACGTCAACATAAATAAATTTTACTTTCCAATCAATGAATTATTACGATATAATCATACCTTCATTTATTAATTTGACGATATACATAAATTTTAGGAATAAGTATACTATTTGACGTAGAAACATTATGACGTCACATGTTGCTATTTCATACAAAACTCATAGAAAATAACGTTTTTTGACATTTCAATAAAGTTGAATTTGCCTAGTTGGAAACTACTAGATTGAACCTTATATTTATTAAGCACTGCCGTATTTGCCTGTACCTATGTAAGAAAACTATTATGGCTCTTCATTGCGAAACACATTTCTTCTCAAACTTTTCTTGCCTTCCTTATGATTGCTGACACCCTTAGAAACGTTAGCACATCACATAATTCTGTCTATTTCTCCATATTTTTTTATTTTAGACTTTATTACAAAGCAATACTTACACAATTCTCAAAAACTTCTTTTTTTTGTGTTAGTTACACTGAAAAGCCAACATTCAACATTTTAAAGTCGCCATACCACTAATCTTGAATTTATATGACTTGAGAAACAATAGTGACAATGAGCCATCACTTAATCGTAATTTGAATTCTAATGCGTTAACAATAAGTTACTTAATGTAAAGATACTGTAATAACAAGGGTACCATACTATTAAACTACATTGATTTAGGAAATCTCGCGATTTCCAGCCTTTTATGTTATGATTTATAGATTGTTACATTTAAGTAAATTACTGTGAAATAAATATGTATGGTTAATTTATGGAGTAATCTTCTTTTATTTATCACAATAATACATACTATACCTATCATAGAAAAAAACACAATGTTACTATTTTAATATTTTTATTATTTTTTAAGTAATATCAAAATATAACAGCCAACAAGTGTAAAAAAACCTCTTCCAATTTATACATATGTATTGCCATAATAAAAAATAATATCATAATCTATAGATTGCTGTCCATATTCCCAGAGTATTGCCATCTAGACTCATCATCAACAGTGACACAGCTTATTTTATTTTCTTTTGTCAGTTTTTTTAAATGATGGCTCACATTATATGCTGCGGCTGGCCACAGATGTTCTGGAGTATCCTTATAAATCATTTGGACCAAATCCATTTGGTTTAAAGCCTTATCCTGATGTTTCTTGAGTGTGTCTAATATTTGCTTTTCTCTTTCATTTCTGTGTTGTATATAATATTCTATTTTGGTGATTGGATCCTGGAAATACATGGAGATTCTTTTAAATTATGGAACATTATAATTGAGAATAAACACAATATTGTGATGTAATAATTACATTTTGTTGGTCAGTTATTAAAACTGAACAACAAATGTGTTGTATGCCATCATAATACTCAATGATAACCAAACTATTAATTTTATCTATATAATGCAATATTTCTACTACCTACACAAGAACAGGCATACTCTTGTGCTTAGAAGCATTACTGTCATTTTATGATTGGATTAACACTTAAATATTTATTATTTTTTCTTTAATTTACCCATTGCCAACATAATTGTGCAACTAATTACTTATACCCTTGAACTCACAATAATTACATAAGAGGTAGTAAATAATATAATAAATAACAATAAAGCTGGTAGCATAAAACAGAGTTTAAATTATGTATTTCTATTAACATATTAGCTAGTTATTTCCTAATGTCTCATATCAAAGGCCTATGACAGACTTTCGTCAGACATAACTCCTCGACATAAGAGGAATTGCCACCATCTCCATGTTAAATGGATTAGTTTTTTAGATGGAAACTCATACTTTTTCACACTGGTTGGGAGAGAGGGTGCATCCATCTCTAACTACAACCCACTCTGAGCTGGGCCACAGGACATCATTTCACTTGCTGATGGACATTAAACAAGTTGGAGATTGGAAATGGCAGTAAAATAAATTATAACACTTACATCAACAACATTTCCATGTCCTGGGTAGATAACATCAGGTGCCAAGTTTAATATTTTCTTCAAACTCAGCATATAACTGTACAGGTCTTCAAAAACTGCAGTGCCTTCTCCAAGGATACAGTCTCCACTGAACAGGATATTTTCTTCCAGCAGTGTAAGTACTACATGGTCTGTTGTATGACCTGGTGTGTGATGAACCTTTAAAGTAGCCCCTTCAACTCTCAACTCCTGGCCATCTACTAACCAATTCATTGGTATAAAAGGTGGTATGTGGTCTTTTTCATCATCATGGCTCCTTGGATGTTTCCATATTTTGGGTTCAGCTGAAAATTGTGTAATATTGGTATTTAGATGATAAAAATTTGAATGTTGAAAAAGTGTATTATGTAGATTTTATGGGTTTTAAGAGTAATAATATATTTACAAAATTTTACTACATAAATGATTACAAAATACATATAATCCTACTTACTAGCAATTTTTCCATAAATATTCTCAACTCCTCCGATGTGGTCATGATGCCAGTGTGTCACAATAATATGCTCTATATTCACTTGCTCCTGATTCACCACCTGTGCCAAGTGATTCTGGTATTCTTGTATATTTTTATCACCAGTATCTAACAGAATTCGACTGGAAAAAATAGTAAACATCCTTACTTATGAATTCAAATGGTACTTATTTGCAATATCTGTGGTTTGCTTTAGCCACTAGAGATAATAAATAATTATTAAAGCTCATACTCACTTTTTACCAGTCCCTATTAAGTATGTATTGGTGCCTTGGAGGGTCATAGGGCCTGGATTACATCCTAGAATTCTTATTACATTATTAGTTAGCTTAGTTACGGCTGGGATAGTTGGACCCATATCTGCTCAAGGTTTCACAAATTGTGAAGTAATGAAGACTGAGATAATAGGGATTAAAGTTTACAACGCAACTGTCACTGGCAAAATATTTTTTTATGTTGTTATTGTAATACAATTATTGGTCAAAGGTTATGCTAATGTTGAATACACAATACTGATGATTAATTAACACTAATAAGTAATAATAAAATTATGAATTATTTATAATGTTACATTATTATTTTCTTTACTACAATTTCTAAACACGAACTTCGTTCCTTAGACTTTGACAGTTTTTAATTTTATGCAGAGTTTATAAAAATATAGGGGATGATATTGACATGTTGAAATGTTTCATATTGTTCTAAAATAATAAAAAATATACAAAGTTCTATGCAAAGAAGGTAATTATTTATCTGGATTAAAATAACTTTCTTAAATATGTTATCAAATATAATCAAATTATGAAATCTGTGTTGTTATTATTTTTTAAATTAATTTAAGTTCTGAGTAAATTGAGATGTTTGCAGTGTTGCCACTATCACATACTTCCCCTTGATTAGGAAGTACTAAAATATCATATTATTCATTCTCTTAACCGCTGATCAAGTAATTAATTTAAATGACAAAAAGCATGCATTAAGTTTATCATGTTAAAAATGAAAATGTGCCATATCGACAAGAACTTCGCATTTTATATTTTTCTTCTTCCAATGCAAAATTGAGAGGTAAGCTAAGCTTGACTCTGGCCCTCTGACAAGATTTTTGTTTGAATTTTGGGATTGTCAGTCAGTTGTCATTTGACATTTGACATTTGCTGAAAAAATGGCTGGTGTGCTGGCGAGAGTAATTCAGAGGACTAAGCCACAATTGGGTACTTAATTGATATCAGAATAGCTTGAGAATAATCCAATTTATGTCACACAAAGTTATATGAACATAGGATGACTGTAAAAGTGCTAAAGTATGTGTTGTTGTTACGATGCGCAGTGTGTGACTTACATAATTTTTACGTTTCATTTTAGGCATTATTGGCCCATTGGTGAGCGTCGGCAATAGCAATGTTGCTGTTGTACGGTTCCAAAGCGCTAACGCTGCGCCTCAGGGCAAGCAGCGTGGTTCACCACTTTCTGACTGCGACAGAATCTTTACGAACTTGTACGGGCGCCATGACTGGCGTTTGAAGGCTGCGATGGCCCGTGGGGACTGGTACATGACCAAGGAAATATTGCTGAAGGGCAACGATTGGATTGTCAGTGAGTATCAAGTGAAACAATCACAGGTGGCAGGTCTTAAGATATGACTTAGGTATAAGATCCTTAGTCTTGGGTTATATGGTCTTTGTGTGCAACTCTCTTTAATAAACTCCTAAAGATTCTCTCGACCAAATAAACAACACTTAGTGTAAACAAAATTGTGTACCCACATTTGTTGTTGAAATTGTGAGACCTGCTGGTATCTTTGATATTACACAAGTTAATAACTATCTAAAACTGCCTGCCTATTTCTATAACAGAAAACTAAAAATGTGTCAAATTTTGCTTTAATCACATTAAGAATTAGTCCTATCGTAGAATGTAATTGACTATAATTGCAACTTAAAATTAAGCAACATCTATTGATGAGTTTTAATTTACTTTATTTAGAATAATGTGAACATGTTGACATTAATGTTTAACAAGGAACTGGGTGTTGTTTAAAAATAATGTGAAAATGGCAGACATTAATTTAATTATGCTGTTATTACACAACATAATTAAATTGTCAAAAAAGGTGTTTTACAAACTAGAAAATTGAATAGTAATTAACAGCAATGTTGTTACACAATAATAAACAAATATTGATTACGAAAACAAAATAGTTAAACAGTCATTCAAATGAAATCTTACCTAAACCTTATTTGGAAATAGAATTTATGTATGGTGCTAAGGTAGAAGAAGACTTGTAGAGATGAAAAGACTGCATAATTGGGCAACTGGCTGCCACCCAAGTGTGATCCATAATGTTGTGAAATACCTATGTAGGGTTGAAATATTAAGTGGACTATTGCACACACTTGGCTTCTTTCAGGAATAATAAACTGTCTTTAATAAATTTAGGAATCTTTATAATTCCAACTTCTGACATAAATATGTAAACTGACCTCTATTTATGTAATTTTTTTTTTTACTTGTTGCTCATAAGCAAGATTTGGAGTTTATATTCTGTTCCAGTTGACCTAAAATTTGACAGAAAATATTACCATAGGTTGGGTAGTAAGAAACATCCTTATTGACACAAAATGCATAATTCCAGATGAACTCAAGGTGTCAGGTCTCCGAGGTCGTGGTGGCGCCGGTTTCCCCACTGGAATGAAGTGGTCTTTCATGCAAAAGCCCTCAGATGGCCGTCCTAAGTACCTAGTGGTGAATGCTGATGAGGGAGAACCTGGTACTTGCAAGGACAGGGAGATCATGAGGCATGATCCCCACAAGCTGATTGAAGGATGCCTGATTGCTGGAAGGGCTATTGGAGCTATTGCTGCCTATATCTACATCAGAGGAGAGTTCTACAATGAAGCCAGTAATCTCCAAGTTGCTATTGCTGAGGTGAGCTTATTTTACTGTTTACTGATTGACCCAACTTTGATAGGACAGATAAGTAAACTTAATAAGATCAACTTAACTCAAAATAATTCATTACATCTAAACCTTAAAAAAGTACTTTTGAAAAGTCAAAATAGAATAGTACTCTATCAGTCTGTTTGTAAGTGAAGCTAAGTGCTTGTTCCAAAGTCTAGATTCTAATAGAGTAGAATGAGGAAGAATTCGTGCTACCTACTTTTTTAAAAACATGTATCTAAAAAGATCATATACATCTTTTTTTTTAATACACATAATTGTGATCAAGTTGTAAAAAAAAACTTGTGATCAATTCGTCATTATTAACTTTTAAATACTTTTTTCGATTAAAATGTAACCTCATTAATTTCAGGCCTACCAAGCAGGTTTGATTGGTAAGAACGCTTGTGGTTCGGGCTACGATTTCGACGTGTTTGTGCACCGTGGCGCTGGTGCCTACATTTGTGGTGAGGAGACCGCCCTCATTGAGTCTATCGAAGGCAAGCAGGGCAAGCCCCGCCTAAAGCCTCCATTCCCCGCTGACATCGGTCTCTTCGGATGTCCCACCACTGTCAACAATGTCGAGACTATTGCTTGTTCACCTGTAAGTTAACTTTCTCTTTTTATTTTACTTTATTGTATATCATGACATATTTATTTATTAAAAAACCCTTACTCTAAGCCAATGTTGAGACAATGTCGAAATCGACTATCTGCCTTGAGCAACCGTGGTGAATTATGCTCACACCTAAGAGGCCTTTGCTCAGCAGTAGGCACTTAAAGGCTGATGATGATGCTACCCCAGTCATACACACACTCAAACCCAGTAAAACACATTTCAATGATATTTTTAGTAAAAGTGCCCGCAAGTATGACTGCCAGTGTTAAGTAAATTATATTGGACTAGCTTTCGATTACCACTTCACTTTAATAAACTATAACTTTAGGTAACTCCACTGGTGATGTGTGTTAATGGGTGAGATTAAAGCCTTGTTGGTGATCCGGGCTCCGATAGCCCATAAACAATATAAAATAAATATAATACAATGCTAATGCTTCGGCACGAATGGGTCGGCTCGACCAGAGAGTTACCATGACCTCACAGAAAATCGAACAATCCTTACCGGATGCGCAATCCTTTACCTCCGATAATCCCTCCCCAATCCCAAAATCTCCAAATCCCTAATCCCCAAAAGGTCGGCAGCGCAACTCCTCCGTTGTTGCGGGTGTCCATGGGCGCCGCTGATTGCTTACCTTTAGGTACCCCGTTTACTCGTTTCCCGACCTATCACAATATTTTTCTTATTTCCAGACTATCTGCCGTCGTGGTGGAGCTTGGTTCTCATCGTTTGGTCGTGTCCGTAACCACGGCACCAAGTTATTCAACATCTCCGGTCACGTGAACACTCCTTGCACAGTCGAGGAAGAAATGAGCATTCCCCTCAAAGAGCTCATTGAGAGGCACGCCGGTGGTGTCATCGGAGGATGGGACAACTTGCTCGCTATCATCCCCGGAGGATCATCTACACCTCTCATTCCAAAAAGGTAGTTACAGAAAAATTTTTGAAGTTAAAATATTTTTGAATTGTAACTATCGTGAGTTATACTTACTTTATTGAATACTTGCTACTCTCGCGCGGTTTCACCTGCTGCTCAGCTCCATTTGATCGTAGCGTGATGATTTATAGCCTATAGCACTCAGGAATATTGTAGCTACCTATTAGTGAAAGAAGAAAAGAATGGAAATCCGACCAGCGGTTCCAAAGATTACCCCCTACATACAAACATAAAAATTTTACCTCTTTATAATATTAGTATAGATTGAATATACTACGAAAACGGATTCGTCTCACGTGAATCAACTCAGATTTCATTCGCGGCTGCGCGATGTGCAGTTTGGTCATGAATAAGAGTCCTGATGTGACTTGAAACAAGTAGAGGTTTTGTCAATTATTTAACTAAATAGATTTATTAGATTTTGAATAAGTTTAAATTATTGTTAGCAATAAATTTTTACCTATTTTTCTTTTATGGAAATAGTAAAGCAGCCGGGAAATAATCGGTGTGACTTGTTAAATCTGAAATTTTGTCTTTACAACTATTTATATTGAATACATAATAATCAAAATAGTTTCTCTCCATAAATGTAAAGAGTAAGCTTAATCAAGGCAGAAACTGGTATACTCATAAACATTTCTTATTTAATTAAATGAAATATACATATTACATTAAATTATAAATATAACCATATTACCTTCCACAGTGTGTGCGAGACAGTGTTGATGGACTTCGACGACCTGGTAGCTGCACAAACGGCCTTGGGTACAGCCGCCATCATCGTGATGGACAAGTCTACGGATATTGTGAAGGCCATAGCTCGCCTCATCATGTTCTACAAACACGAGTCTTGTGGCCAGTGCACGCCGTGCCGCGAGGGTGTCTCCTGGATGAACAAGATTATCTACAGGTATGAGTTCCATATGTATTTTAAAGCTTACAAGCTTCCACCAGCGGAATCTGCTGTATTAGGGTAAAAAGTAGTAGCCTATGTGTTATTTCAGACTGTAATCTATCCCTGTGCTAAAAATAATTGAGATCCGAAATTGTTGCCAGCCTTTTAGGGATGTGCCGAAACCCTATTTTGCAGGTTTAGGGATTGAGGGAGCGGTAAACCGTAATATTCTATTATTCACTGAACATCAGATTAGAAATGCATCAACCTCCATAATGATGGGTTTCTTTCCGTACTTTCAAACTTAAGCTTTGACTAGTATCAATAAGAGTTTTGTTAAAAATCTCGCAAAACACTCAATTCTGATTAGAATTCTTACTCGATCATGATCGTCCGAACTCTATCAACGCCGTGTATCCTGGTGATAATGTCACTATAAAATACCGTTAGTATTAATTAAATTCAATTAAGTAAATATTTTAGTTTTTATCATTCCATATGTAATATTAATGTTTATTTGAGTATGATGAGCATTCACTTCGTATGACTATGACCTACATTCGTTATCACGATTTGCTTATTCAGGAAAATGTTAAAACATCACGCGAGCGGTAATAATGTGTAATTTACTAATAAATACACGAAACTATCGAACTCGTTCCTAAAAAGGTATATTGTACGTGTGATTTGACGTTTCTTTTCTATCCCAAAACTCGATTCGTACCTATATGATAATCGCAACGCAGAATGTCCATTTCTCAGTATTCTGCAGAAACATGAGTCTGAAAATTGCTTGTGTGTCATTTGTTTTCAAACATACATAACCAATGAACTCCAGTTTTACCCTCGAAATTCTGTTTTGTTAATTTATTTAAAGTGTGTTTCTTCATTTTCATACTTATTGCATATAATCTAGTCTCAAGTCGATTCGAATCGCTTTTATTCCTGATTCGACTAATATGTTACTAAACATCACAATTTTGGACTCCACAAAGAAATAGTCGTTTTACTGAATTGAATTAAAGGTATAACGAAAGACCCACTCGACTAACGAGGCATTGGTCAAAAAATAATTTCAAAATGTTTCGAAATAATAATGACGATGTTATTAGTTGTTATTTGTCAACATTTTTAAATATTGCACAAGGATTTTATGAATCAATTTTTGCATCTCTTCACGACTGCCCAAAAAAAGGAGTCATGGATCACTTATGAAATATTTTTTTTTCTCTTACAGAATGGTTGACGGTAACGCTTCGCCTAAAGAAATCGACATGTTATGGGAAATCTCTAAACAAATTGAAGGTAAGACTTAGTCTGACCCACATTCGATTATTATCCACCTCCAATACTTTCAGGCATACTGTCTGAATTTATTTTCATTATGATAATATATCAGTCCTGCTTTCTATCTCTCTAATATCTATTGCGAAAAGAGTACTATTTAACTTAGTATTATTATTAAAAAAGGCACTCTAGGTACAACCTAAATGCATATTATAAACATACTAGCGCCCCACCCAGTTTCGCATAGATGCAATGCTGATACTATATTTGTCCATTATTTTGTGGATGTTATTTAACATACACAACTTCCTCTTTAATCACTATCTATTAAAGAAACCTGCATCAAAATCCGTTGCGTAGTTTAAAAGCTTTAAGCATACATAGGGATATAGAGCCAGAGAAAGCGACTGTTTTATACTATGTAGTGATACTGATTTTCTCATCCTCAGGTCACACAATATGCGCTTTAGGAGACGGTGCAGCGTGGCCCGTACAGGGCCTTATTCGACACTTTAGGCCTGAGTTGGAGCGCCGTATGGCGGCCTACGCCAGCGCCAACGGGCCAAGCAAGGCCGAGCGACTTTATTAGTATAGCCAACTAACAACTTGACACACTAATATCAACTTGCAATATGTTGAGAGATACAGAACGCATTATGTATTTAACGGCGGACAAACTTGTACAAAGATTTTATTTTAATATAATAAAGTTGTTTTTTTATGCTACAATTATGTTTAAATCAGATTTTTGATGTGTTGTCCTTTTACAGGAGTTTATATACAAGTGTGTAAAGAAACTTTTTGAAGTTTCAAGTTGAAATGGAATAGGTAACAATGAAAATCGAAGTACTGTTTAATGGTTCTATATTTCACAACATATTGCAATATCGAAATTAATTGTACATAGTGACGTCATAGGCTCGCAGATAACGTGTCACTATCATTATTTATTATTTTTTATCTAATTTTCATTTTTGTTTTTTTTTATTTTACATTTTCCTCTTATTTCTCTTAAGAGTATATAATATGTGATAACCGATAATTTTCATCAACATATGAGACGTATTTTTATATTACAACGTACAATCGGCAAATTGTTTAGAACCACTGGTAGTTATTGTTTACAATCATATATAGTGCCTTTTGCCATTAGGTAAAGCAGAAACTAGGGCTGCCTAAATGACTTTCGCTCGACTAAGAAATCCTATTTCACCACCAATTAACAAATAAATTAATTGAAAAATTATAGGTTTCATCACCTATAATTTATATATATTTGTAACTGTAACAAAAGGTTATATATTTCGTCGTTTAAGAACCAAGTGGGAACTTCGTCGATTGTACAAAATATAAAATTATTTCCTTTATATCATTTTGATAGTTAAAGTAGAGTGTCCGTACATGTATATGTGGCTATTTATATATTTCCAATCTGTGACTCTCGCCGTTACTGTCAGCACACGGGTGATCAAGTAATTTAGTTAATTTTGTATAATATTGTAATTAGAAATAAATGTTCTGAGAATTATTTTGCACCGTTTCTTTTAATTCGATCCTGTTGCTAAGATATGCTTGTCTGTAAGTGCCAGCTTCTTCGCACATGGAGAAGGTTTGAGCATGTTTGGTTAAGGTAGATTGATTGGGTTGATTTACGGGGTTGTGGGTTCAAGTGAAATACAATGTAACTCTGCAAAAGTCACACTGTGACTTGGAAGGATTCGAATGCCTTTTTGAGGTGAGAAAATCTTCAAATGAATCTTATCTCTGCATATAACAAGAATTAAGGCAAGATTACTGATAAAAGGGTGCAAGTCTCCTCTCCCTTTCCTTATTTTCTAGATCCCCTACTAACCCTCAAATGCTCAACCCCAAAAGGCTAGCAACGCACTTACAGCTCTACTGGCGCTGATGCACACGGAACGCAACGCGCCGTACGCTCGGGTAAATAAAATGTATATGAGGTGGACAGAAGTCAAGGTCAAAGTTAAACTTTATCTGTCTGTATCTATCATAAAATTTATCTGCACTATTCAAAACATCTTTATATATCCACTAGATAAATATGTAAATTCGATGCTTAACGTGTACCAGCGTCATGCTGACTAGCTCTTATCGTATCACGATATGAGTGATAATCCTTTGTAGTTTTATTTTAGCAGTGATTTCAACTTTGCTATAATTCTAATACAAATGTGTCATGTTTCATCGCAAAATACATATCACGTGTTTAAATCCATTTTTTAAATCCACAAATATCCTCACATAATATAATGATGATGAATATGATAAAAACCTTTCACGTTCTGTCTGTATGACAGACAGGCGTGATATATTTGAGCAGGGAAAATCACCATGAGTTCTCTCGCCCAGCGTATTGCGGGATGTCAAACTCTTACTGACTAAAAACTCCCCCGTTCCTTCTCCTGCTCTAGGCCGTGTCCGCGGTTCCTTATTGCGCTTGAATCGCGACCCCGGAAGCTCTAATACCTACCCCCGGGGAGTAATTGTTTTCTAAAGAGTTTCCTGGTCGAATGGCCGAGAAACAATAAATTTATTCTTGCAAATAGGCCATAAATCTGGCTAAAATGTATGCCAAAATAGTCGTGTCTGTCAATGGCTTCCTTGACTAACACCTGAGCAGGCTTACGTTAGATGGTTGGTCAAGAACCTAATGCAGAAAGCGGAAACGGCGGCGCGTATTGTCCGGAGATTCCTTTCTCTAGAGCCCAGTCCACCAATGGGATATACCTACTGTTTTGTATACTGAAATGTTTTTTTAGAAAATATTTAAAAATGTAAAAATCAAGTTGGAAAGTAAATAAAATAAAATAAATAATATCCTTTTATCATGATGATAAAGGCAGTATGAAACGAAAAGGTATCTTTTATTTTACATACCTAATCAATATCAATAATTTTCAGAGAAAGGTTTTGGCACTAAAGTTCCAATATCTATCTACCTACGTAATTTTGCACATGGCACTCGACGCTATGTAACTAAGTACTTATTTAGGTATCTGAAACTACTCTGATCTTATCACGCATTATCCAAAAGAGGTACCTAGTCATGCTGACCGACTGTGTCATGCCATGAACATCATTAAATCTATACTAATATTATAAAGAGGTAAAGTTTGTATGTAGGGTTTTTTTGTGGTGGGAAAATCATCAAATGACTTCTCCCGCCCAGGGCCGGGCGGTAGGGAGTGTCAGACTCTTACTGACTAAAAACCTCCCTGTTCCTTCTCCTGCTCTGGGCCGAGGTCGCGGTGCCTCATTGCGCTTACCCCGCAACCGTATGTAGGGGGTAATCTTTGGAATCCCTAGTCGGATTGCCAAAATTCTTTCACTGATAGATAGCTACAATGTTCTTGAGTGCTATTGGCTATAAAACATCACGCTTCGATTAAATGGAGCTGAGCAGCGAGTGAAACCGTGCGGGAGTAGCAGTACGGGAAATTGTGAAATTCTAGATTATCTTGATTACCTACAATTTACCATAAAAAAACAAACAATATTCATTAGGTATAAATATCTAATTAGATGATTCTACTCCTATTACTGTTAAAAAGACCTGAAAAATAAATATAGGTACCTAGAATAGTCATTTTGACAGCATTTTCAAATAATGTTACAGAATCAGAATAGCAAAATTGTTGGTTGCTTTACTTACGATTAAATCAATTACCTACCTAGTTAATATTAGAAAACAAAATCATAAATTATTTAGTTTTGTGTGCTCGTTTTGACTTCAAAAACCATTTTTCAAAAAGGTATTTTATCCGAAAAGCAGTCAGACTGTTGATAAAAGTCCAATGCTAGCACGTTGCCATCCTGTTGCGGATTAGGTATTTCAGGATAAGGGGATCAAGGACATGGTAATGGGGGAGGAAAAATTGGGTTGATGTCACTCACATTGCAGTTTTCTGTAGTGTGCGTGTTTTAAAATTCTAGTTGCGTACCTAAACTTAGGTAGGTATATAGGCAGCTTCGTAATTTGGGCAGTGCCGAGGTACTTTTTTTAAAAAAAAAGCTTTGGCCTGCACTATGATTTTAGCCTGTGTTGTGGGTGCGTTTCCAAACGTACAATTTCACATACACACCACACCCAGATCCGGAACAACAATTTGTGGATCACACAGAGAGTGAACGTGTCGCGGGTTCGTCAAAAAGTCCGTGCAGTCGAAAAGTTCTAAATATTATTGTAGGTACCTACTTTAGGTTTTTATAGGATTAACCTAAACATTTGGATTTTTATTTTATGCCTTGTTGTCAAAGCTTCATGTAAAGACAAGAGAATTAAATTGTCAATTGTTTTGTTACATAACAAACACATGATCCATGTTTTCGTGATATTTTCTTGGATTCCGATGTAATCCATTCATCAACTTCTTATCATATCATCAGATCAATTCGGACGGACAAATTCAACAATTTGTTATTATTAAGTATGTAAGATTAAGTTCCATGCTCCTTTAAGATATTTTATTAAATATCGTAATTAGACCTTTGTTTTCTAGTTTATACAGTGCTTACTGAAGGACGAGGACAGGCGTCTGTATTACTAAATTTTAACCTGATCTAGTTGTGATAAAATTGAAAATCTAATGTAGATTTTGAAATAGAGAGAGAATATTCAGTATTGTTCGTCTTGGGGACTATGTAAGTACATGTAGTCTACGTTTAGCCAGGGATGCCGGTTCAAGAAGTCCTGAGTCCTTAAACTGACGTGGTGGTTTTTAGGCAGTTAAAGTCTTAGGTACAGTCGCTCTTGCCCCACCCAGGACCCGAGAAGCCATTTTATGATTTTATCCCCTCAAATAAAAGGGAGGTACCGTCGAAAAAATATGGGGGTTACGTATGTAGGACGTATGAGATGTGTTGCTTGATCTTTTGCTTGACTTCTCATCAAATGTGGTTGCTTTTTCGGAACGATGAGATTGAGTATGAGATTGCCGTGAGCGTGAGCACCATCAGAATTCATTTTAGGTAGGTATAGGTAGGTAAATACGAACAGAGTTCAATTTTTACCTACTAAAATCTACTATTATTAAAATCATTTAATAATTTCGGCTGTTTCAGGGATACGAAAATGATTCGCATAAGTACCTACTTATTATAGTTTATTTATACCTTCATATCTTATCATCTATACCTAGCGCAAATGAATACCAGAACCAGGACAAAGGGCAAATATTTCTTAAAATACCTAACCAAATCTATTTATCACCGAATCTATATGATATTGATGATATTCGCTTATTTATCTACCATAATCACCACTGATAGATACTAATTACCTGAGATAACTTCTCAAACAAAAATTTATAAAAGTATTTTGCGCATACCAACCTATCTATCACTTGATAAACTTAATCGGAACTGTCAAAATATTTATTCGTGTCTGTCTGCAGTGTTAAGTTCCAACGTGGCAAACATACCTACTTTTTGAAACATTTGACACATTTGTGAAAATGCTTATATGCATTCTGCTGATGACTCAGAATACAGAACAAACTGTATTCTGAGGCTGATGATTGCTTCAGCCGGGGTTGCGGGGTAAGCGCAATGACGCACCGCGACCTAGGTCTAGAGCAGGAGTAGGAACAGGGGGGTTTTTAGTCGGTAAGAGTCTAACACTCCCTCCCGCCCGACCCTAGGCGGGAGAAGTCATTTTATGATTTCCCCCTCACAAAAAAAGGCTGATGATTGCTTGCCATAGGGTAATCCGTCTGTTCGTTTGCCGTAAATAATACCTTCAAGCGAGGGTGAGCCATCCATGCCTTGGCATTGGAATTGAATCGATCTCGGCTCGAAACGACGACGCTAACGTTGTATTTATAGTTTATACCTCAGTCACAAGAGTGAGGTTACCCAATGCCAAATTATCCCTCAACATCGCCCATCCTGTAGCACCTTGCAACGCGCTTTTGTCGCGTGTGTCCAAAGCGGCACATTATTGGCATTAGGTGTGCAGGTGCCGCTTTTCTTGTAAAGAATGACCTATGACCATTTAAAGACTACTGCCACACCCAGCCACGCGTTGCTGTGGCTAAGAAAAATAATATTGTGACTATAAATATTGAGATGTAAGCTATCCTACCTTTCAAGTAGGATCAAAATGCAC